GAAGCTTGGGTGGCCTTGGAAGTAGTGGTAGTAGATGACGAAGACAGAGGCGGGCTGAATCCAATAGTGGATTGCAGGGATGCTCAGATCGCGCGCGACGTCAGCTGCCCAAGTGAGTATGTTGGTGTACAATATGCAGGTAACAGGGCAGCCTTTTGCGATGAAGTTGTGCGCTAGGGTGGCGAGGGTTTGGGAGCCAACTGACTTGAGCTTTTCCATGAAGAGGTCGGTATCGATTGCGGCCAGGTGGTCCTCGTCATCAAAACCGTCGGAGTAAGGCGCATAGGCGATGACTCCAGAGGCATCTAGATTGAGAGGCGCCTCCTCTGTCGCATCGTCAAGCTCGCCGGCTGTGGCAGACGATCCTGGAAAAAGGCGGCGATGGGAGGAGAGAGGTGTAGTGATGGTGACTCGAGCTTTTGCAGTTCGAGCTAGTCGACGTGCGAGGTGGCGGGCGGGATTGATGTGACTTTGTGCGGCTACGATCACCATAAGGAAATGGTGACCTTGGCCATGGCGGTGATCGGCGACCATTGCCGACATTGCTGATGAGCAGTCGATTAGTGTTGCACTTTTAAATGCCTATTGCTCCACTGTGACGTTTGCGCTGACGACAGAGTTTCGCGAGAATAATGATAAAGTAGAGACAGATCTATGGCACACCAATCAAGATAAGAGACAAAATAATAAATGAATAAATAAATAGAAACCAAACAATCATACTCCATGATACCGTTGCAATAATAATGCCCCATAAAATAAATTAAAACATCACATTTTTACGGTCAGTTATTTTTTAAATAAATTTAAATAAAAATTTGATTTTTAACCGGATAATAAATAAAAAAGATTCTAAAATTTTTTAATCGAGTCTTTTTAGATCTATCTCAATTTTTATTAACATAGATTATAGTAACATTTTATGTGTCCAAACCATCTAAAACAACTAACTCTATCTTACATGTCACTAAAGCTACTCCAACTATTTCATGCACATATTTTTCATTATGTCTCTAAGAGTGAAACCGCTCATCCACTCGAGCTTCCTCGTCAATGCAAGCCTTAACCTTATGCTTCTCTTTTAATGGCCAACTTTCTGCACCATAAAGCATTGCAGGTTTCACCACCATTTTATAGAATTTTTCTTTAAATTTGAGAGGTAATTTCTTTTCACAAATAAGGTCCAATTCATTCCTCTACTCCAATCATCCAACTTCAATTCTATTAATAATATTCCTATTTCTTTTACCATCACTTTGAACAATAAACTAAAGATATCTAAATCATGTACTCATATTAATGAAGTTATCGCCCAAAGTCACAATCCCCCATTAGATCTATTACTACTAACTCATCCCAAGTCAGTAGTTGCTATAGTTATTTCTTAGTAAATTGAGGGATAAATCATGTCCTGAATGTCTCAACAAACTCATTCCAAGTAATCTGGGTTTTTATATGACCCTGAAACTTCTCTCTCTATTGGCCCAACCACTAGCACTCTACCTCACCATCTAATAAAAATGCAGCTAATACAACTCTCCTCTTAAGCGAACAGTATATCACATCTAGAGTCTTTTCTATCCTCATCGGCCAATCCTTAGTAGCTCTTGGCTCAATAACACCAGCAATTCTAGGAGGCTGCAATCTCATGAAATTATATAAATATCTATCCATGTCATCAGATCGGGTACCAACAACTCGTGTGTGAGCCTCACCAACTAACTATGCAACTATACATATAATATGAAAAATCATCTAAAAAATGATTATAGGTGCTATATCCTATACCTGAGCTTCCTGACTAAAACTCTGACCATTGCCTAAGGCGGATCAGCCATCTCAAAACACATTATTGAATGCAACACATGCCTATAAAAAATAAATAAAACAAGCACCCAAAATAACCTAACACCTTCTTACTCTTCTAAAAATTAAATCATGTAACTCTATTACAATTCACTTCTCTAATATTGCTTTGATACAAAATTTTTTGTCACAACCAGGACAGATATAACCTGAGATCACAAAAGTTATACTTTATCCGATTGTGACAAGGCAAACTAAAAAATCTGGTTGAAGAAGCATTGAAATAAAATTTTTAATTTATATACTATATAAAGTCACTATTAATTGTAATATAAAACAGAAGACTATTGAATCTCAATATATATTTTTATATATCACTCAAAACATATATAATTTAGAATCTCTCTACAATAGCGCTTAGAAATAAAGAGCATAACAAAAATAAAAGCTAAGCATGTAAAAATCAAAACTAAGAAAAACAACCTATAACACAGGTAAAAGCCTGCTATCCAAATTATTTAGCTTACTCCTTAACATTCCCCGAGCCTAAAAAAGAACAAAACTAGGAATAACCCAATACGACTTAGTAGGCTATCATAGACTAATATATAAATCAATAACCAAAATTAAAAGAGCTGAAAATTGATCTTAATCATATAATAAAATTGAATACATTTAAATAAATATAAAATTTGTTGAATTATAAGCAAACACTTCTAACGATTATTAAAATAGCTCTTAAGCTCAAATTTTAATATATCTTCATTACCAGAATTCCACGTCAATTGCCCACTAGCGCCGGCATCAAATCATAACACTTTACATCACATTTTTTTCATACTTTTTAAAATTATTTCATTAATTAAAGCATAATTAGATTGAATTTAAAAATTGTCAAAATGTCATAGCGATAGATAACAAAAATATTGCTGAGCAAAGATTCTAATTCTAAAATATAATCAAATTACCAAGAACGGTATAAAATATCATTTTGAAGCTTCAATTAAATTGAAGCACAATTTTTAGGTGTTAAAATAAATTTTTGATTAGATAAAATTTTTTATTCATTTAAAATCACCATGTGAAAAATTTCTAGAAGATACTCAAGATGTCATAATCTCACTCTTTATAATATATAAAAAGACACACA